TTTTATTTCCCCTCTTTTTTTCCCTTTTTTTTTTTTTTTTCGTCGAATGTCCGATCCTCCTGTTTAGTTGGCGCGTGCACGCCTCACCCATCCCCAAATGTCGAGAGTTTCCACGCGTGGAAATTACCTCGTGTCCCGACTTCCATCGCGTGTCGGACCAATGGATAACGAACACCGGTACCAGAGACTTCCGAGCTGGACACGAATCGTTTTCAACTTTCGTCCGTCGAGAATTAACGATCGAATCGGATAATGCTTTTCAACCGGTCCAACAATTGTAAATAAAAATCTGGAGAACGGGATTCTCCTTCTCGCGCGTAATTATTATTATTATTATTATTAATAATTAATATAATCAACTTATCCGTATCGTCGATTTCTTCCTCCCTCCTGTAAGTCTACAACGAGTCTCGAACGGCCCGTAATCTATAACAAAAGAAGGTGAAAGTGAGAGACGGGTAGCTGAAAGGGTGTAGAAAAAAAAAAGATAATTCCTAGGAACTGGGAACGAGGGTGGAAAAACGTCGAGGGACCGTGGAAAAGGTGAAACGAAGAAAGGGAAGTTGGGAGAGGGGATGAGATACGAGCCCGTAAACACCACCATCCCTCCTCCCTTTTCTTTTTTTTTTCTTTCTCTTCTTCGACGATTCGGGGACGGGGGTTCGACAGGATCGTGATTGTATCGAATCCTGGAGTACCTGAGACCTGCACGTCGAATGTTCAACGCCGCGAACAACGTCGAGAGACACTTCGGGGGACCGGTCGATTGTTTTTCGGCGACGGGTGAAAATTGATTACTCCGGTATCTGGGGAAATATGACGTAATGGTGCTTTGTCGTAAGCGTATTATCCGGGTGTCCTCTTCCTCTTTTGTATATATCTTTCTTTTTTTTTTCTCTCCCCCTCCCCTTCTCCTCTTCACCGCGCGAAACCAGACAGTAAGCTCGAGAGATTGAATCTGAAAATGTTGCGGAGAGGAGAATTTGACATTTGCGAGATTAAGTGATACTTCTTGCGGTCGCGTTGCCATTGACGATGATAAATCATCGGTTCGAATTTTCGAACGATGGTCCCTCGTATCCCGCCCGGAATTTTTAGGTTGAGTACCATCGATCAACCTTTCTTTTTTCCACCCTTCGGGGCTGGCTCTGCTCTCTTTCTCTCCTATTTTTTTTTTCTTCTTCTATTCTCTTTCCCCTGCTCTTTTTTAAATCGTCGATGCTGTTTGGTAACCGTTCGCCGTGCTACTCGTGCAAACAACAAACTCGTTTCCATCGTTGCAGCGAGAAATTGCGTCGAACGGTGTGCAAACGCTTGAGTAATTTGCGTATCGCTTCAGCTCGGAGTAACTTCGATAAGGAATGTAGTTAAAAAAAAAAAAAAAAAAAAAAAAAAAGAAAGAAAAAGAAAAGAGAGAAATAAAAGAAAGTCGTCGTTAGTTGATAAGATGGGAGGAAACGAGGGAGAGAACAGAGGAGAGAAAAGAATTAAAAAAAAAAAAAAAAAAGAAAGAAAAAGAAAAGAGAGAAATAAAAGAAAGTCGTCGTTAGTTGATAAGATGGGAGGAAACGAGGGAGAGAACAGAGGAGAGAAAAGAATTAAAAAAAAAAAAAAAAAAGAAAGAAAAAGAAAAGAGAGAAATAAAAGAAAGTCGTCGTTAGTTGATAAGATGGGAGGAAACGAGGGAGAGAACAGAGGAGAGAAAAGAATTAAAAAAAAAAAAAAAAAGAAAGAAAAAGGAAGGAAGAATACCGAGCAACTGCACTGTGATGCTGTGTGATACAGGTGGAAACGAACGTGAGATAGAGTCGTTTTATATCATCATATTACATTTATTGAAACAGTATTCACGTCGATGAATATCTTTACAGTATAATAAGTCTGTACTCGTTTTGCCGCATTTTACCTCTCTGCCACTTTGATTCATGCTTGACGTTCCTCTATAACATGGTACATTATCGATTATGAATTTTTTTTTTTTTCCCTTTATTCTTTATGTACAATGCGATCTAGGCTTAACTATATAAATTGTGCAACATTTCGTAATTATGCGAGTCGCGGATATCGATTATCTAGTGACACAATTAACGTGTAACGTCCCCTCTCGATATTTTTCTGCTTCTTTTCTTTGATTATCAGCGATTGACGCGTGTTTCGA